CAGAAACTATCCTTAACTCTGTAAATAGAAACCATCCTTAACTCTGTACACAGAAACCATCCTTAACTCTGTAAATAGAAACCATTCTTAACTCTGTACACAGAAACCATCCTCAACTCTGTAAATAGAAACCATTCTTAACTCTGTACACAGAAACCATCCTCAACTCTGTAAACAGAAACCATCCTTAACTCTGTAAATAGAAACCATCCTTAACTCTGTAAATAGAAACCATTCTTAACTCTGTACACAGAAACCATCCTCAACTCTGTAAATAGAAACCATTCTTAACTCTGTACACAGAAACCATCCTCAACTCTGTAAATAGAAACCATTCTTAACTCTGTACACAGAAACCATCCTCAACTCTGTAAATAGAAACCATCCTCAACTCTGTAAATAGAAACCATCCTTAACTCTGTACACAGAAACTATCCTTAACTCTGTAAATAGAAACCATCCTTAACTCTGTACACAGAAACCATCCTTAACTCTGTAAATAGAAATCATTCTTAACTCTGTACACAGAAACCATCCTCAACTCTGTAAATAGAAACCATCCTTAACTCTGTACACAGAAACTATCCTTAACTCTGTAAATAGAAACCATTCTTAACTCTGTACACAGAAACCATCCTCAACTCTGTAAATAGAAACCATCCTTAACTCTGTACGCAGAAACCATCCTCAACTCTGTAAATAGAAACCATCCTTAACTCTGTACACAGAAACCATCCTCAACTCTGTAAATAGAAACCATCCTTAACTCTGTACACAGAAACCATCCTCAACTCTGTAAATAGAAACCATCCTTAACTCTGTACACAGAAACCATCCTCAACTCTGTAAATAGAAACCATCCTTAACTCTGTACGCAGAAACCATCCTCAACTCTGTAAATAGAAAACATCCTCAACTCTGTACACAGAAATCATCCTTAACTCTGTAAATAGAAACCATCCTTAACTCTGTACACAGAAACCATCCTCAACTCTGTAAATAGAAACCATCCTTAACTCTGTACACAGAAACCATCCTTAACTCTGTAAATAGAAACCATCCTTAACTCTGTACACAGAAACCATCCTCAACTCTGTAAATAGAAACCATCCTTAACTCTGTACACAGAAACCATCCTCAACTCTGTAAATATAAACCATCCTTAACTCTGTACACAGAAACCATCCTTAACTCTGTAAATAGAAACCATCCTTAACTCTGTACACAGAAACCATCCTCAACTCTGTAAATAGAAACCATCCTTAACTCTGTACGCAGAAACCATCCTCAACTCTGTAAATAGAAAACATCCTTAACTCTGTACACAGAAACCATCCTTAACTCTGTACACAGAAACTATCCTTAACTCTGTAAATAGAAACCATCCTTAACTCTGTACACAGAAACCATCCTTAACTCTGTAAATAGAAACCATCCTTAACTCTGTACACAGAAACCATCCTCAACTCTGTAAATAGAAACCATCCTTAACTCTGTACGCAGAAACCATCCTCAACTCTGTAAATAGAAAACATCCTCAACTCTGTACACAGAAACCATCCTTAACTCTGTAAATAGAAACCATCCTTAACTCTGTACACAGAAACCATCCTCAACTCTGTAAATAGAAACCATCCTTAACTCTGTACACAGAAACCATCCTTAACTCTGTAAATAGAAACCATCCTTAACTCTGTACACAGAAACCATCCTCAACTCTGTAAATAGAAACCATCCTTAACTCTGTACACAGAAACCATCCTCAACTCTGTAAATAGAAACCATCCTTAACTCTGTACACAGAAACCATCCTTAACTCTGTAAATAGAAACCATCCTTAACTCTGTACACAGAAACCATCCTCAACTCTGTAAATAGAAACCATCCTTAACTCTGTACGCAGAAACCATCCTCAACTCTGTAAATAGAAAACATCCTTAACTCTGTACACAGAAACCATCCTTAACTCTGTACACAGAAACTATCCTTAACTCTGTAAATAGAAACCATCCTTAACTCTGTACACAGAAACCATCCTTAACTCTGTAAATAGAAACCATCCTTAACTCTGTACACAGAAACCATCCTCAACTCTGTAAATAGAAACCATCCTTAACTCTGTACGCAGAAACCATCCTCAACTCTGTAAATAGAAAACATCCTTAACTCTGTACACAGAAACCATCCTCAACTCTGTAAATAGAAACCATCCTTAACTCTGTACGCAGAAACCATCCTCAACTCTGTAAATAGAAAACATCCTTAACTCTGTACACAGACTACCACTTACCTGCTGTGATCAGAAGCTCGTGTCCTCGACACGCTAAACAATGCACGGAAATACCACACGAAAGATTTCCCCCACTGGCTAGGTCTCGGACCATCTGATAGACAGTGTACAGAGAACCAGCTTCGCTGAAGAGTAAGCTCAGTGATGAGCTTTATAAAGCTGAGCGCCAAGAAGCTGTTAAGCTTTGACACTTTGCCATTCTCGTCGGCACTATTGCTAAGTCGAAACATTATCTATCCATGCATTTATCTACTGATTTCTCCCTCTAATTCGTTCTCTACTTCTAATTCGCCCTCTTCAAATTCACCCTCTTCAAATTCGCCCTCTTCTAATTGGCCCTCTTTAAATTCAACATCTTCAAATTCGCCCTCTTCTGATTCGCCCTTTTCTAATTCGCCCTCTTCTAATTCGCCCTCTTCTAATTCGCCCTCTTTTAATTCGCCCTCTTCAAATTCGCCCTCTTCAAATTCGCCCTCTTCTAATTCGCCCTCTTCTAATTCGCCTTCTAATTCGCCCTCTTCTAATTCGCCCTCTTCTAATTCGTCCTCTTCAAATTCGCCCTCTTCTAATTCGTCCTCTTCAAATTCGTCCTCTTCTAATTTGCCCTCTTCTAATTTGCCCTCTTCTAATTCGCCCTCTTCTCATTTGCCCTCTTCTAATTTGCCCTCTTCTAATTCGCTCTTTTCTAATTCGCCCTCTTCTAATTCGCCCTCTTCAAATTCGCCCTCTTCAAATTCGCCCTCTTCTAATTCGCCCTCTTCTAATTCGCCCTCTTCTATTTCGCCCTCTTCTAATTCGCCCTCTTCAAATTCGCCCTCTTCTAATTCGCCTTCTTCTAATTCTCCCTCTTCTAATTCGCCCTCTTCTAATTCGCCCTCTTCTAATTCGCCCTCTTCTAATTCGCCCTCTTCTAATTCGTCCTCTTCTAATTCGTCCTCTTCTAATTCGCCCTCTTCAAATTCGTCCTCTTCTAATTCGCCCTCTTCTAATTCGCCCTCTTCTAATTCGCCCTCTTCTAATTCGCCCTCTTCTAATTCGCCCTCTTCTAATTCCTCCTCTTCAAAATTCGCCCTCTTCTAATTCGTCCTCTTCAAATTCATCCTCTTCTAATTCGCCCTCTTCTAATTCGCCCTCTTCTAATTCGTCCTCTTCAAATTCGTCCTCTTCTAATTCGCCCTCTTCTAATTCGCCCTATTCTAATTCGCCCTCTTCTGATTCGCCCTCTTCTAATTCGCCCTCTTCTGATTCGCCCTCTTCTAATTCGCCCTCTTCTGATTCGCCCTCTTCTAATTCGCCCTATTCTAATTCGCCCTCTTCTAATTCGCCCTCTTCTAATTCGCCCTCTTCTAATTCGCCCTCTTCTAATTCGCCCTCTTCTAATTCGCCCTCTTCTAATTCGCCCTCTTCTAATTCGCCCTCTTCTAATTCGCCGTCTTCTAATTCGCCCTCTTCTAATTCGCCCTCTTCTAATTCGCCCTCTTCTAATTCGCCCTCTTCTAATTCGCCCTCTTCTAATTCGCCCTCTTCTAATTCGCCCTCTTCTGATTCGCCCTCTTCTAATTCGCCCTCTTCTAATTCGCCCTCTTCTAATTCGCCCTCTTCTAATTCGCCCCTTCTAATTCGCCTCTTCTAATTCGCCCTCTTCTAATTCGCCCTCTTCTAATTCGCCCTCTTCTAATTCGCCCTCTTCTAATTCGCCGTCTTCTAATTCGCCGTCTTCTAATTCGCCCTCTTCTAATTCGCCCTCTTCTAATTCGCCCTCTTCTAATTCGCCCTCTTCTAATTCGCCCTCTTCTAATTCGCCCTCTTCTGATTCGCCCTCTTCTAATTCGCCCTCTTCTAATTCGCCCTCTTCTAATTCGCCCTCTTCTAATTCGCCCTCTTCTAATTCGCCCTCTTCTAATTCGCCCTCTTCTAATTCGCCCTCTTCTAATTCGCCCTCTTCTGATTCGCCCTCTTCTAATTCGCCCTCTTCTGATTCGCCCTCTTCTAATTCGCCCTCTTCTAATTCGCCCTCTTCTGATTCGCCCTCTTCTAATTCGCCCTCTTCTAATTCGCCCTCTTCTGATTCGCCCTCTTCTAATTCGCCCTCTTCTGATTCGCCCTCTTCTAATTCGCCCTCTTCTAATTCGCCCTCTTCTAATTCGCCCTCTTCTAATTCGCCCTCTTCTAATTCGCCCTCTTCTAATTCGCCCTCTTCTAATTCGCCCTCTTCTAATTCGCCCTCTTCTAATTCGCCCTCTTCTAATTCGCCCTCTTCTAATTCGCCCTCTTCTAATTCACTCAGTTGTTTCCAGATAATATTAAGGTGAGTTTTACTACCCATTCATGATGACTTTCTTTCCATTTAATTCCGAATAAAACGTGATCCTTTTCAGCAGATAACCTCGATGTGGACTCTAAAGTACTCTGCTATCTATCTATCCCATGTACTCCTGTGTACTCCCATTCATTACTACCTCTTTCAAGAAAGTGCGTCTTGATGTTATCAAGGGCTCTTGATGCTGGGAATGAGAGCCACCCTCACCTTCCTCGAATCAAGATTGATTATCCTCCATTCCCACAGCCGCTGTTTAGCCTTCACGGGTTTAGCGCTTCCTCTTACATACATTATACTATTTCTGCTGAAAAGGCCCTTAACATTTTCTCTGAACCCTTTTCTTCTAACCCTTTCCCCCCCTAGGGGCTGTGATCTGGACCTGAGCCTCACCTCCAAGTCCTACCGTCGTCATCAGGTCGAGAGCTGCTGGGAGTACCTGAAAATAAACATCCAGGTCAGGAGAGAGAGATGAGAATCTTGGATAAAGGAGAGTAGTGTGTGTGTGTGTGTGTCTGTCTGTATGCATGAGTGTGTTTGTCTGTACTCTTCAGTCTTTGTCTGCGATTACAACTGTACACGTCTCTGCGTGTGTGTGATTATGTCTGTATCTGTGCTTTTGATTGAGTTTATGTCTGTCTGTGATTATGTCTTCACTTGCACGCTATCTGGTGATTGTCTGTGCGACTGTCTCTTACCCTTCCACCTCTTCCTGTGTAACCAGTCTGATTCCATCAGTCTGTGTCTCCTATACTGTCTGTACCCACCTGTTACCACTACAGCCCAACAGTGTATTTGGGTGTAGTTAAATACCATCTGACACGGGTAAAAATAACTGGTTAGTCAGATTCAAATCCTATCGACTGCGCTAGACTCATCGAGGCTACGTAACATTAATCACAAATCAAGGGATTTAAAGGAACTCTCAGCATATATACGTTGAGAGCAATATGTCTGCCGATGCAAAACAAGCAAGTGGGGAGCTGAATGATTGCTCTAGGCCTTTCGTGTTGCGATCAACATATCATCAGGAGCTTGCAATATTGCAGAAAAGAGGAGGAGGTCCAAGAAAATGCGCTCACAGAGCGCACCTTCGCTGGGATATCATTTAGTCACAGGGTATATACACCTCTCTGTGTATATACCCTGTATATACACTTCTCTGTGTATATACCCCGTGACTAAAACAAAGCTGGTATTAAATTACATTAATAATTGCGTAATGAGAAGAGGAATAACAGGTAAGAAATCAAATTTATTTATTGAATAATAAATATGGAAACGACAAATGATAAATTATAATATATTGAATCCAAGATCAAAATTATAATTAATAATGCAGACTCATATTAAATGTTCAAATCTCGGGTGTCAAAAAATATGATTAATAAATTGTGAATATTGAAGTTATGGAAGAGTAAATCAGTTTTGAAAAAATAATTCCTCCTGTCAAAATTATCTTCTTTAATAATTAGAAACAGAAACACAGACAGAGATGTGATAAATGGTTTAAAAAACCGACATATTGAAGATTGAGACACTTGTGCAATATATGGGAATCTTTATTGAGGAAACGTTTCGCCACACAGTGGCTTCATCAGTCAACACAAAGGTGAAGAACAGGAGGAGTTTGAGGTAATCAGTCCCTCAACCTTCAGTCGATGTAATCAGTCCATCAGTCTTGAAAAGAACACGGTGTTCCTTTCAAGACTGATGGACTGATTACATCGACTCAGGGTTGAGGGACTGAATACCTCAAACTCCTCTTGTTCTTCACCATTCTCCTTTGTATGGACTGATGAAGCCACTGTGTGGCAAAGCGTTTCCTCAGTAAAGATATTCAAATATTACACATATATCTAATTTATCATAATATGTGACGCATCAATTCTGAAAAGTTAAAGAGTGGTTAAAGCGTCCTTGTTAAAGTGCGTCAGTAACTAAAGATATTTAACACCAGCCTAAGACATTACGAAATTATTTTACAATTGCTATGAAAATAAATGTCACAGTACCGTGGCTGAAATAACTAACTGCCAAATTGGAAATGTGATAATCGCGCAACGTTTGAGTCCATCCCTGGACTGGGTGGACGGGGTAACGGAGACACAGCTACGCAAAACAAGCCATTATTTGGAGGACATCTCGCTTATCAAGTCGCGGATCATTTCCAATTTGTGGTTTAGTTGTGACTCAGTATACTGTGATGAACTAGACGAATACGTTCATGTCAAAGAACACGGCAGACTAATACATATGTATAACATCCAAGTACCGTGCCAAAAAAAAAAATAGTCAAAGATCCTATACACTAGTTTCTCTGACGTATAAATAAGAGATCATGCCTTAAATTATGGACATCAGAGGAGTCCCCATCCCCCCCAACCTGTTTTTCCATCATTTATGTAACTACATACCCTGCGTGAACTGGTAAGAGAGGCTGCCCAAGACGGGCATCTGACCTGGCTTGACCCGCTGCTCGACCTGGTTGTTGGTCTTGAGGGAGTGTGACCTGATGAGTGCTGCACTGTGGGAGGCGCGGCGCTGCCTCGGGTACTCCTCGCCGCTGCTCAGGAACTCACTTCTCGTCGAAGACCTAAAACTGGTACTTCGACGACGCTCGAGAGGACTCATCGATACACACAGCCTCGCCTCCAAGTCCTCAGCTGACGTACACAGTAGCAGCACACATTAGCACATGCTTACACGGCCAGTGAATGTGTACAGGGAGGAGGGAGGGAGGTGTAGAAGTGTAGATGAGTTGCGGGGAAGTGTGTGTGTGTGTGTGTGTGTGTGTGTGTGTGTGTGTGTGTGTGTGTGTGTGTGTGTGTGTGTGTGTGTGTGTGTGTGTGTGTGTGTATGTGTGTGTGTGTGTGCATTTAGATACTGTAAGGACTTAGAACATAGCTACAGAGAAAGGAATAGGGAGAGACATACAGATAGGGGACGGAGACAGAGGCAGACAGACAGCTAGAGACGGAGACAGACAGACTCAGACAAGCAGAGACTGTCATCTCAGAGAGAGCCAAAGATTGGTAGAGCACAAGAGGCAGACAGGATGAAGATAACATGTGACTTGCTCTGTTTACATACAGTGACACTGAAGGTATCGCCATACTAAAGCTCCGACACGGACATTTATAGACATAATTAGGACATAATTAGGACGTAATGACATAATCAAGACTTAGGTACAATGAGGCCTTATGCTGAAGCCCCATTAGGGACATTTAGCACAGTTTTAGTGGAAGACGTGAATTAGACATGAGTACTTTAATTCATACACACGAAACAACATGACAATCTATCACAGTTCAACATTAATTGCCTTTATGTAACACTAGAAGAAAAAATCGTCAGTAATGGCAGCCAAAAAAATGATTGTCCTTCCTTAACTCTATTGACAATCAGATCACACAAGAAACAAACAAGCATCTTAGTTAAAGTTCACCAGGTTTTTGAAGTGATTATATCAGATTTACGACAAGTAAAGCCTTTTAGGCCACAAAAAGCAACACAAGACTTACCTGTGAAACTGTAAATTACAAGGTGGTACCTGAGGTAATTGTAACTGGAGCTAAGTGCACTTTATAGCTTCCAGACTTGACACTTAAGACTTGAGACTTGGTAGTAGGTTTCTAAGATTTATCTCCTAATACTTGACACTCAAGTTTTCAGCTCTGGCATCTAAAACTTGACACAGCATTTCTCACCTAGAACTTGAGATTTGGGATTTGAGACTTAGGATTTGAAACTTGACTACCGAAAGTATTGCGGCTCAGACAGAAAGCTTTTGAAATTGTTATTACGTTGAACTGCAGCATTAAATTAAAAGCTGATGACCCGTAAGACTCAAAGATGTTAATGGAATGTAAAGAAGCATCGCTTTGTGGGATGTAAACAACACGCAAAAGTTTGGATCAAAATGGCGTACTGCCACCATTAGTATAGAAAAACACAGGTTCACTACAGTCATACTTTGTTTAATGTTTTAATTGATGTTAAGTGCTAAACCAATGTGGGTCATTCAGCGCAAAACGTGTTGGAGGCTTGATCCTCCGTCTATTGAGCCCCAGATAGACGCGCTTCCTATTTGTACTCACCTATTTTTTTGTAATACCTTATAAAATGCGGTTTTGAATAGCGCGGGTTTTGCTATAGCACGGTTTATAATTTTGAAGTTTTTAACAATTATTTTTTTTAACAGAAGTGCGGTAGTGAATTGCACTTTTTTTTATTACATATGAGTACTTTTACTGTACTTATGTAATGCTTATGTAATTAACATATTACAATGTTTTAAACAGCGCGGTTTTGCATAGCACTGAACTTTTTCGGCAACTGTTAACCGCTCTATGAAACGTATTCCTGTACAAGCTTTTAATGAGATAACCTTACGCTCTGTGTAGAGCCAGATGAAGCTCTACAGAGAGCGAAATGCTGTTGTCCTCTTTCTTCACTCATACCTCAGCTTATGTTCAAAGGAAAAATAATTTCCAGTAAGAGCGAAATAAAAATATTTAGCCAGATTTTGCACAAGAAATCTTCTTCCCTCTGAAGAGGATACTTTATAAATGCGCTAAATACGCACAGGTAATATGATTAAGAATGACTTGAGTTCTAGAGGCTGGAGAGGTAAAATTCCCGTAACTTCAGAGACAGGAGCGATGTTGTTGTCCGGTGGGTTATTACTAACACTAGCCAAAGAGGGAACTTCGGAGGTCTTAAATTTAGAAAGTGAAATCAGGTAGTTAAACTCACCCTTGACTTCAGCTATTGAGCAGGAATTCCCTGAGGTTAACCTTGAATGGTGATACAAAAACAGAGGACGAATCGTTCACCTTTTAGGGCAGGAGTATGACTTGAAAACAAGAGACCATATACTCAGCCTCCTGGTCTCCCTTGAAAGTAACAGAGATGAAGATACTCACCCTTGAACTCTGGACTGGAGGACGACTGGTACGCTACTGAGGAACGCCTCGACTGGGGCAGCGAGTGGGGATAGGAGCGGGAGAGTTGGTACACCTCGTTCTCGGCCTGCTCGCTCAAGGAAGACCCCCGTCTGGAGGGTGACCTACCCCGAGAAGAGTACAGTGAGTATGAGCGGGTGGAGTGGAAGCAGCTGAAGTGGGACAAGTAGAAGGGAAAGAGGACAACTGAAAAAGGATGAATGTAATATATATATATATATATATATATATATATATATATATATATATATATATATATATATATATATATATATATATATATATATATATATATAATGTTAGATGATACGTTGAGAATGAAAATAACATATATGACATTGTAAAACCTATATTTCGTTCACGTCATCCGGTTCCCCGGAGGTCGGGTGTCCTGGATGTTGCATTTGCACTCTGGATCACAACACTGAGTCTGAAAAAGAAAACTGTTTTCTTTTCAGGCCTTAGTTGTTCCTGACAAGTTCATCATTTAACTCGTTTAGGTATTTGATTTTGCACTTAAACCATAATCCAGGGTTTACAATCCTATTGGAATGTAGTTGTAGCATACTGCCATGTTCCTGTAAACGTATATTTTCTGTGTCTTCCTAAAACTTGCGGCACTGTCCCTTTCTCTGGCGTACTGGAAGTAGGTGTCGGCCACTGAAGACCCACAAGTTCAGTGCCATGCTATCAGCTTACTGTCTTCCCAGGAAGTTGAGACAGCCAATAGGAAATTCCCAGCATGTGGTGTCATCACCGCTAGGTGACTAGCGTTGTCTTTTATTAAGGCATTATCGAGCATCGTTTCGTAGATTTTCGTCACAATGGAAATGCCCCAATGAAACTGCTGGGGCCTTCAGAAGAAGCTGGTCTGTTGGAAGTGTCTACAAGAATATCCCACTGCGCTGCTCCTGTGATAAACTTTGGGTCGTGAATTCCTACAGAACCTTTAGTACATTTTGGAACTACTCTATGTTCCTCACCAGTTCGCTGAATGCAATTCACGGATATAGAAATGTGTGTAATGGTATGTGTTGCCTTGTGAACTCTTGTACACCCAACCTCACACCTCGGTCCAATTAGAAGTGATGCTCGATCCCACTGGTGGTCTTCCAACGACAGATTTGGTGATTTTCTGAATATAAATTTCAAAAATGCAAGTTATTCTGGGCAGGCCTAAATAATTTGTGAGTAGATTCAGGTCATCGCTTCCATATCACCTATTCTCTGCTTTATCCTCTTCAAGTCATTCAGTTTCGCCGAGTCACCATCTGGAAAAGACCCGGGCCTGGACAAGACCGGCGAACCTACTACATTTAGTTTTTCCTCGAGGACTGTGTAAATAACCTGAGGACCCAGAGGTGCTCCCCGTTGAATGTTGTCAATTAAGAAAATAACTGAGGCTTCTGGTAAGGTGAATCTAACAGCAGTAAGGACTGGCTTGTTTGGCAGAGATGATTTCACATTCGGAAGGATTAAGAAGGAGTCCTAAGGATTTCTTCCCCGTGACTTCATATCTCGAAGCTCTGAAATCAGGGTTTCTTCTGTATATGCCAGAGTGTCATCCTCCTGGTACCACATGTTGAGTTCCATGCTCAGTGTGGAGAGAGGAATGGGGCGAGTCGGTTTTCCTGCTGAACGCCTTCTTACGATCTGATCTCACGCTCGCCGAACCACTTAGATTAATTTTTTCTGAAACTATGGGAAATGAAGTTAAAGATTAGGAAAATGCTTTCAGACGGCTCCCAAAGCGAACATCTCTTTTAAACCAGATCAAATGCTTTTTTGAGACTAATTTAACTACAGTCATATCTATGGGCAAGTTCCTTGCTGCAGCAACCGCTGCTTCACTGCTTTGAGAGATCCCATAGCCAAGTTGGTTTGGCTGAAGCAAGTTAGCAGCTTTTGTGCGAATGCTTCTAACTGCCAGTTTAGCAATGCAACAGCGGAGGATGTTATGAACGGGAATGGGTTGATTTTTCTCGTCCCTTTTCAAGGCACTTGATACACCGAAGAAGAACGGGTTAATTTACTCAGGTATCATCCCAGCAAGACAGCTTTTAGCGAACGTTGTTATTTCAGATAAGAGGATCTTTGCAGCTGCCAAGCACTGGATTAACCATCTCTTTGATGTATAATTGTAACGTAATTGCATTCCATTATAACCCGCAGCAGCCCCTAACAGCAATAGCACAGTCGTTTTATGTAGCATTTGAGTCTTTGCCCAGATAATGGTTTTCCGATGAAATTATTGGTAGAATTGTTGGTGACACTGACCGCCATCAGTGTACGAACTATTGTAATATCTCTGGGGAGCGATTTTGTCGTCTAGTTGACCCATTAGCGCTGCTTCCTTCAGTGTTTTTAGTTAACATGTACGCAAACTTTCTTGCTATTATGGACATTTTTCTTAAGTCAATCTCAACCATTCATACGCTGCTGGGAAAGATGAATCAAATTATCCACTCTATGAAAGTTACGTACGATTTCGATAATTGATGAGACTGACGATTTTTTTCTCTTGATACATAAACGCTGCCAAACAGAAGCAAGTTGCATCATGCACCAACTGTGCCTCAGGCTTCTAGGTTTCTGGATACTCCATTTACCTACCTGAGTAGGTCTGAGAATTAACCTGCAGCATGTACACGACCTGCTTTTGGGATCTGAGATAAAGACCTTCTTGCAGAATATTTCATTGCCACCAGGACGTCATTGTAACAGAATTAAATGCTAGTGGAGTAACCAGCTATTTTAGGCGTTTCATTGCTCTCTACTGAGGCCATATGTGACTCAGTACACCTGTTGTGTGGCCTAGCAGCGCCGTTATTATTGAGGCCACGATTCTCTCCACACACACCTGACATGTGTCCCGTTGTTGGAGAGTATTTCCTCGGCTTTGTGACTAACTGCCACATCTGCC